TATAGAAACGAGACGCTTATTCTGCTTCTTTACGTTTCAATAAAAACTCAAGAAAAGCGTCACTCTCTGAAATCTGGCCGAAGAAAAAATGAATTGTGCCATGTGAAGAAAGACGTTATCCAATAATTTCCAGCATTTAAAATGTTATTATCATTGTGTTCGAGTTGAAACTTTGAAGCGCCAGTTGTATTAGAATTGCCAATCGACACTTCCTGGGTGGACCACAGAATAGCAATTCAATGTATACGATTCGTTGTACCTGAGATAAGTTACCATCGATTCTGTTTGGCCTGTTTATCTTCAATTATGATTATGTTGGCAGAGCTGAATGGTGACGAGCGGATTTAGCTGAAACTTCAGAGCTGGTATAAACTTAACAATTTTATTTATTTATGCACATAGCTAATAAACTGCTGCCCTACTGTTTAGCCTGGCAGGAGATGCCGATGAAAGCGGTTATCGGAACGACGGAGGCATCGATGTTTAGTCTGCGTTGGGACAACACCAGAAGGGTTATTAAGAAAACGAAGCATAAACGTCCTGACTTCGGTCGACAAATGTGGTGCATGACCTAATCAGGCTAGGAAGACGTCCGTAACTGGCGACCTCCGGGCCCTCATTGGACTTGGCGTTTTCACGGAACTGTGCCTATGTTTTTTTGCCGGACCTTGCAAAACGACTTCGAAACAAAGCGCGTCAGTTGCCCTGAGAGCAAATAACGTACGTCGAGACTACCCATTTCTTCCTAAGTTTTGCGGTTAACAATAACGCTACGATTTTATTAATCGCTAGAAATTAGTCAATCACCACCAAACGCTGAATCGCAATGAAAAAAAAAAGCCGAGACGTCGTTATTAGAACGACTGCGCAGCTTTCGCTGTTTATCGCCGCATCTACAATAGCGATGATCCCGCTTCTAACTACTATAAACAAAATAGAATATTGAGCATTTAACTAGAAGGATCTTCACTCAAATAGGCCAACTGAAGCGAGGGACCCCATATTCGATGTATGCGTTAGCTTTCTTTATGTCATGCTTTTCCAAAGATTAAAATCTCTTACCTACGTGAGCTATTACTATTTGTTAGTTTATTGTTATTATTGACTGCATGATTGAGAATATGTAATCTGAAGGTTGCTTTCCAACAGGGACCACCTGTGAATATGGCTAGGACAAACCCGTTTGCCCCGATATGGTACATTAGCTAGGCTGCAATCATTAAAACCATATTTACGCTAACAGAGATAGTTCTTCTGTTTTACATTATGTTTCTGTTTTATGGCGTTTGCCCGCAGAGGAGAAGGTTAGCTCTTTTTTTTTGGGTTTCCTGCAAATCGTCTACAGCTTGTACAAAGAAAAAGTTGATCTACTGCTTTCAGCTGATCAATTTTTGAAAAAAAAATTCGTACATACTGTTAAAATAGGCCAGATGTGCTAGTTTTCTATGTTGGCGTACATATCCTGCAGGGCATAATTTTCCTAATTGGGAATACAGAGCTGAGTAGGAACTTTTTAGCTTGCTACCACGCTTCGATCCTAGCTTTGTCAGGTTAATTGCCTTTTTATGCAAACCAGGCGAAATCTGCCAATTTAGTCCATTCTAGCTATGACAACTGCTTTGGACAATCCACGATTGAGACGTACTGCGATTAGAAACCACATGTTCATTGACTTTTCCGTAATACCTCTTCCTCTCAGTGCAACCTGTGAACAGACACGAATTCAGATATAACCGATACTGCCCAATATAAACAGGGGTTGCCAAAAGTGCATCTTGGATTTCGATAAAAAATTTTAAAAAATCCCGCCAATGAAACAGGTTGACATTCAGCACGTCGACATGTGTATATAGTATATAGGGTTGCCATGCAGCTGATAATCGTTGCAGCACAAGCTCTGTTACTCGGGATGGAAACGTATAGAATAAACGTATCATATTGTTTGACTACAGGCTGACGGTGTTATGGTTCGATGTGGGCATTATGAATTTACCCTAACCGCTAAGCGCATTACGAAGTTATACGCTGCGTACTGTATGCGGCCATGTAGATGTATGGTACGCTGCAGCCTTCGGCTTTCGCCGAAAAAACGAGCTGTGAAAAGGATATAACTGTTTTAACAATTCGCTTACAAACACTTTTTTTATAAGTTCTTTGCCTTTTTTTTCGTTTGGATCATCGACGACCTAAATAGCTGTTCTATTTATAATCACCAACTTCACCTTTTCAATATTATGTCCCAATTGGTTTTTTTTTTTTTGCTACAGCTGCATTGATTAGCTTCGTTTGATACAAATTAGGAACCTCTTCAGCCTCTTCATATCCTCTTAAATATTATACGAGAAGACAACAGCCAACTCAACAATATTCATCAAAGCCAAAAAAAACGTGAAAGCTATCGATTGATTTAAAGGATAACTTAGTCGATAGTGCAATTTATGCGCAATCAGTTCTACGTCGCTACACAATAATTTTACGTTCGAATTTTAAATACTATTACATAATCAGACCGTACACATGAAAGATTACGCTGGATAGTTGTGGTTGCTACACAAGTCGGCCTGCAGAATTTATTCATTATCAGACGAAAATACACCAAACCAAAAAAGTTGTGCAAGTCATGGCTATATATATATACCATCAAATGAACGGTTTCAACGACAACCTTAAAGTATCGACTTTGAAAAACATGTATCTAATATGGCACCCCGCACGAGCTACCTGGGTCTCCTGGGTGCGTGAGTTTTTGTGTATGTGTCTAGATATGCACGTCTGTAAGAAGCAAGTGCGGACTCCGTGCTATTATTAGTAGCAGACGAATAAACACTGCTCGATATAAACACAACATTAATTATTGCGCAGTGTACATATAACGGCACTGTAATTGATCGTAATGTTGCGAAATTATAGAGCAGAGCGTAATTTTCGTTGGCTAGACTTGACTTTGGTAGGCAAAGGGGAGAGGGTTGGCCGTTCGAAGCAGTATTTCACATGAAGTATCCTGCTCCTTTTAGCATGATCAAAGAAGGTCGGTAGCTTCAAGAGCAGGTGCACTGTCCGTGTTCTGTCATTTAATGTGGCTGTCGCCGGCAGCGACCTCCATCTGAACTGAGTCACAAGTTCACGGCCCATCTAACAAACACACACAGCCACAGATGGCCGCGAACGTTGCACGATGAAATCGTGTAACAACAGCAGAAGCAGTAAGTTTTAGGTGAATGGAAGATCGTAAACAATGTACAGACGGACAACACGGGCCGAATGAAGACGATCTATAAATGATCCATTCTCAAACACGTTAACGACACCAGCACCACTACCGACGCCGACGGCGCCTCTAGCGTCGAGATGTAGTCTAGAAGAGTTATTATAATTGTTATTTAAGGGTTACGGTGGTTGGTATCTTGACAACGTTGTTTTTATTTACCACTTTGTACCCGGCTTATCATTTTCAGCACAATCATCATAATTACCTGCCATAGATGGCAAGGTCGGAATATAATAGGTGTCGAGCTTGTAAATGAAAGAAAAATGTAAAAAGTATATAACCGTTCCCCACGCAGTGTTCCGCAGAAGTAGCTGTTGTTATCGTTGGAGGTGTCTCTTTGTCTCATAATCTATTGCGCACTGCTACGTACTTTCGTTCAAGCGACTAACATCTGATGCTCACGCCGTTTGATTAACTACTATATGTAATGCCCCTATTTCCGATAACAGCACTCACAATCAATAGGTTTTTTTTTTTGTTTTTTTTTTATTGTTCTTACAATGCATAAAGGACATGTAATTACGAATAGAACATGAACCGCGAACTATATAAACAACAAATGATGTCATACGCTGTTATTTCTGCCACTCGTACTGCGTTCTGTAATGCAATAATAGCAGTGATGCTCGCCTCGTCGTAGCTATCATTTAGTACCTATCAGGATTGATGTGCCGTTTCACCTAATGGTCCTATGACAATTTTGACGTACCATTTACTACATCTGATTCATGTGTATTATTGTCATGAATTAGGCCTTGTTTCGGCCTATATCCTTTTCCATGTCAAAGCTATCGAATAAAATCTACCGTTTCTGCAAGTGTCGCTAAATGGAGCTATTGTACACAGTCGAACATCGCTTATCACGCCTGACCACATGGGTATAACTTCAGCGGTACTCAAATCCGTTATCCGTACCATTAGGCAGACTAGTTCCTGTAAATATGGACAGACAATAGATTTCACCCGTTCCTTCCATACTGTGGCCGCTGCCACTGCTGCTGATGGAAATGGTAGTCAATCTAATAGCAGCCCAGTGGGCTACAAAAGCGAAACCCAAGGTGAGCAAATGCAAGATCGCTGTGCTATCGGTGGTGTGAACTGGGCAAATAAGATTACAGCAATCGAAGATAGCTACAATTGCAGGAGTTCGTGATGATTTTCAGCAACTTCAGACAAGTTTCACAGGCAAGGCAAGCCTTTTTAATGGTAAGTGCAGTAAATGTCCAATGAAACACAGATAGTGCTTAGTCATGCATAGATTTCGTCTGCGATATCGTGTGCATAAGTGGCATTTCCGGCGCGGTCTGATTGCAAACGCTTCAGAAATTTTGAAGCTATAAAAACTTGAAAACCGGCGGATTGTAAAATGATAATAATATAGCTAATTTATCTAAATAATGCCAAAGCGTAATTTTCTTGCTTCGATCTAACATTATATTCGTGTTGGGCTAGCGTAGATATATCAAGGCGAAAAAGGTCCAGCGGCGCTGGATTGAAATCGTTATAAAAACACATTGAAGGTTTTTTTTTACCGAAAGAAAAATATCTTACAAAATATATTTTACAATATAGGATAAAATCTAATTGTAAATTGCTTTGGTCCCGTATAGCTCGCAGCTGGATCACAGTGTTATTATGTGAGAGATTACTAACTACTTTGTTTATATAGACGCTTTAGACTAATGCAGGCCTTCGCACCACGTATATCTATGCCGGATAGATTCACACTTACCTAACTAATGATTTCATGTTAAAGTGATCCAGCTTGTGCGTGTTGCCAAAGTATTGTGGCCTGTTAAGGGCCATCCGTTGTTAGTCCAAGAGAAGTAGTCGTCGCCCGATGCGTGACACTCTACACAAATTTTTGCACATGAATGGTAGCGTATGTCATGCCAATGCTCTACACTAAGTTGCTGTTCACTGCGGCAGTGCGGATAGACAACGTGTCTGTGCGTAATGAAATCGCGCTACTGACTAATAGCTGTCGGGGCAATGAGGGGTGATTTCTTCCCCACAAACTGCCAATACCCGCGTACAGGTCAGTTCACCCCTCGTTGAGGCTGGATTGATCTGAGAAAGAGTGCGGCTTGATATGCGACGCAAACCAGAACGCTAACTGCAGTAGCAACAGTAGTAGTAAGCGTATCTACAACAGCTACTTGAAGACCTGACAAAGAAGAGGCGAGGCTTTCCTCTCCGTTCCGACAGCGGCAAATACGCGCTGGCCTAGCAAAAGCAGTCTCACCAGACAACTGCTGCATTGAATGTCCAGTTGCTACCGCCACCTGCCGCCATTGACGCGACTAACGACGGCCCCGCTTCTTCAGCAACGAACAGACACAGCCAACCAACACAACAGCAACAACGGCGGCGGCGGCGGCGGCGGCGGCGGCGGCGGCCGTACCCACATGAGATAAGACCACTAAACTATGGACCGCAGATGGCAATGGGCAAGTGAAGGGAGTCTTGGCGCGCGAGCGCGCGCGCGAATATTCCTCGCTCTTTCACTCACTCACGCCGGGGGTGTGAGCAGGAAGGGTGCAGTTAGGCGCGCTACCCACGACCAGCAATTTCAGCAACTGCCTATCTATAAGCCTATAACATACGTTTGTCAGGGGATTCCCCCAACAACTCAATAGAATTGGTAGATGTCGCTGTTGTCATTAGTCGATATTATATCTAAGTCCTTTACGAGTGACTGGCGACTGATTCGGCCATTGAAGGAGATGTGGCAACTCGGACGGAGCGAAGCTGGGAAAGAGTTAAAAACTAGAAATGCAAAACTGATCTTTTGGACCTCATGGCAAAAAAGATACCGAGCAGTTATTGTTGGCAGTGTATTCCTCGCTAGAGTACGCTTTATTCAAAATTCATTAGCCTGAAAAATTGTTTCAATATATTTCATTTCGGGTAATTGTTCGCAGAATCTTTATCCTGTCAACGTATCAAAATACAAAAAACAACTCTACTGTAATTCGAGTTGTGATAAATACATACTTTTGCCTAAAGCTGAAATAGCGATAGGAGGGCTATGTAGATTACAATGAGGATTGTCTTGCTTTTATTTAATAACGTTCCTAACATGGTTCTAAGTTGTTCTACCTAAATTCGTAACTAACAAGAAGAAAAGAAAGTGTATCAACTTGAACGCATATTCTTCATAAAAAGCTGACAGTCTTTGTAGTCGCAGATATCTGGTTCTCGAAATATTGACTAACATCATCTATGTTGAGTCCATATGTTGGATGATCGTATTATGAGTCGCCGATACTAATGGAGTTGTTTCCATTCGATATTAATGCTTGCTATAACATAGCTACCAATACGGTCATTGGTAATACCAATGCAGTAGAAGAGGGGCGCAAGGGGTGTGAAGGGAAGGGTTGATGTCCACAAAAACGACACTCTGGAAAATAACCGTTACATATGTTACAGCTCGACAGACTTAGGATAGATGGTATCCTGTAGCGGCAGCGACAGTGGGTGGTTGTTGCTACATGGCACGCCGTTTGATGTACAATTGAGCTCAATGTTGGCATCCCTAAGCAATCGACATCTCGGGCATATAAATGAGGCGGCGTATTACTCCGTACAGACATAGAGAGATGTAACCAGCAGGTAAAAAGATGAAAAGAGGGTACATGAAAATGCTCTTTACCCCACTGCGCCGCCAACTTATTGTTTATATTATTAACTCACAATGGTTTCGTTTGTTTTTAACCTTTGTTTTCGTCTACTGTCTGGGTTTTCCTACCCGTGCCACTAGATATTTCGCCGCCATGAAAACAGTCCGGGAACTGTTTTCACCACGATGCCCCTGCTGTCAACGTTGCAGCGTTCTATTGCTAGTCGCGCACCGGGCACATAAATTATTTCTGTTTTTTTTTTAATTCTACCATGTGTCTTTGTTGTCACATGCAGAACCTTTTATTGACGTTGTCATCAAATCACGGTGGCAACGGTCTGCCCAACACGACTACCCTCGGTATCTTCCAGCCACGCTGTGTTCAGCTGATTCAATAAAACGAACGACGAATGTTAGACAGGCCGTTTGGTTGTTGTACGAAAGACCTACTCATCAGACGGTGGTTGCACACATCCATCGCCAAGTGGGTGGCAGGCTGTCGTCTGCAGCCTATCCAGCGGGGAAACGTATCGGGTCGGTGGTACGTTGAATTCGCCGCGTCCGAGGGTCTCTAGTGTCCCTGCGGTAGTAATGGCGGTACGACGAGTTAACATTTGCGCTCGATGTCCATAGACAAGCGTCAAGGCACCCAGCCTGCTGGTCGGGCACGCGGACAGGCGGGTGGGCGTTCGTCTGTTCGGGCGGTAGATCGAACAAATGAACCAGTGAACATAGCAGACAAATACCATCACAGCACTGCCTGCTAGTACATTACCGTGTATGTCTGTTGTAGTACAGGCCTTCATTTCGTGTCCGTCATCATCCGGTAATCTGCTGTCTTCAAGACAATATGGTTTGTTCAGTCTGTCCCTTTGAAAATTGACAGAATTTAGCTCCATTTGCAGAAAAGCACACATGCGCATAGTCATATGCAGACATCCACATCTCAGAGACATCGAGGTATCCGCTCAGTAGTCTTCAGCGTACTATAGTATCCACACGTCCTTGGACAAGCAAGCAAGCAAGCAAGAAGCTGAAGACGAGTGAAGAGGGACAGATATACTCAGAAATCTACATCAGTTAAAATGATGGGCTTTGAGTAGAAAAAAAAATCGAAGAAGAAAAAAACCCGAGACGTCTAAGTTGTACATTCATAAGTCACAGACATATATTATGACAATCATATTATTGTCGGTCGTTGTTAGGCTAGGCACAAAAACAGACAATGGGTCCTCTCGATTGTTATATATGACGAAAGACACGCATCCAAGCTTCGCTGTTAGTAACTACCCGCCTAACAGTAACTTTGGGAAGGTTTTTCAAAACTTCTTGCAAAATATCTGCTTGCAAGCAAGTAAAAGTACATTTGATTAGTCGGTACAGACTTGATTTTTTTTTTGAGAAATGTTTGGAATATATGCTCTTGCTTCAGTTTATGTACTTGGCTCAAGTTCTTATTAGAAGCTAATAATGATAATGAATGCTCTGCGATTTTTCAGCGTATAGCTTACTAGTCGTCTTGCATGATGATAGTAACGCTTGCGCATATTGTAGCTTTCAATCTATTTGAGACCGAACGGTTACCTTTCTGTCTAATTGTCCTACATGACAATCCATAATATTAACGACTATTTGGTTTTATAACGCGCCAGTTATTTCATAAAAGACACACTTAATTCATTTCATGGGTGACCATGATTTTATACTAAACAACAGTTACCCTATTACTATGCTAGTACTTCCACGTTCATTAAATAGACCACGTTACAGCCATAGTGCTACTGGTGACATCTATTTTTATAAAATTGGTGATTTCCGCATATAAGTGCCAAAAACTAATTATATATAATATATATGGCTGTTCGTTAACTAGCCCGATTATGTAGTGTTTCTGTACGTAATCACGGCAACGGATTTCCGTTGTGGTTGTCTACATGAACTATTTACGATGTTATACAACATCGATATCTAAAATGTAATGGAGTTCTATGTACATTTTTTTATTGTACAGCTTCCTATCGAAAGGTAGTACACTCACATATCTCTGTGTTTCATCCTTACGAAATCAGATGTTACGGATCACGAGCTGCAGTCTTCTATCATTTTGAATTAAAATAGACTTGTTTGAACACCGCTATCACACAAATTCAAAGAAAGAAACTATATAAAACTGCTTATCATATATCTTGTTTTTGCATATTCAGTTTTCCATCTTGGTATACCTTCGCGGTGTAGCGCTTTCGTCAACATCTCTGACCGCAGTTACCACGAAGATAATTTTTACTTCTACCTCTAATCTCGGGTCGCTTTTTGATCCGACATTGTTGTTTCGAGGCAGAAGAAAAATCTTGAACGAAACCCACTCAACGGTCGGCTCCTAGCAAACAAGTTCATCCAGACGAATAGAAAACTCATATTTAGCGCTAGGCTCGACCTGACTAAATAGATACTAGCACAATAATTGCGACTCAGAAACAATCTCTGTAACCGATTTCATCACGGGGATAGATAGGGTCAACAGTAGTGTATACAAATTACCGGAACACAACGACCTAATTGAGTGAATAAATTAAACCTTTCGTTGTCATGGCCAAGGGGTATCACAGCAAACCTCTAAAAGCATTAATTATGAGTTCCAAGGAAAACATTAAAGCGCGTGTTATATCTTCCCCTATGTCTACCTAAAGTCCTCATACTAGTCACGTCGTTCAGTTCTGCATGTCAACTGAGTCGATAAACCGACCAGAAATAATAGCCAAGGTAGATGCGGACTTATACAGGTTAGGTCCTTTTGTATTACACTCAACCTTTTTTATACCTTCGTGTGTTTACCCGGTAGCCGATAAAATTACTACTGAAAATGTTTGTGTCGTCAACTCGGTCATACGAATGCAGTTTTAACTACCCGACGGCCCGGAAAGAACACTCAAAGGAAGCCTACAAGATGACTTCACAGATGTGTTTTGCCTTGAACCGGGCCTCTCCTTCTCCTAAGAACGAAGAAGCTATCATTTAAATAGTCTGTCTTAGTTCCGCAGGCACGTGTAACCACCCGTGGCCCTTCCTCTCTCGGATTATATATTGGGCCCATAATTGAGTCCGTTGCCATTCGGGACCCAACAACATCAAATTTTACAGGTTATCATTCACGATGGGTCGTAGTAAGAATCATGCATCGCAGCGGTAGTTTGCCCCCAAAAATGCAGGGTCTGTTAGCACAGCTGCTTCACGTAGTCATAAGAGCAGCGGGGTTGGTCATCAGGTCAATGTGATTATAATTCTTTAAAAACTCACCACAACGGTGAGGGCAATTGCCTTAAGACGAGCGTTAGTAAAGCCACTGAAAGGAATCATTGAAGCAGTGCGAAAGCAGATTGACGAAAATATTGACTTAAAAACGCAACGTAATTATTAGTAATGGAACCGATATGTCTGCAAACTTCGCTTAAGGGTTAAGCCATGTCAAGGTTACATGTACAACCGCAATGAACGCTTTTGTTAGCGGCCGTTACGTTCTATTTCGATAAAATATAGATATCTATAAATCCATCATGAGGATCACTGGTGAAGGCAGGACACTGTTAAATTATACCGAATCGAATCGATGGCTAGGGAACAACTGTCAAATATCAATACGCTATGTAGCGTCAAGCACACACG